TAGTTCAAAGGCTAGTAAGGGGCAGAAAAAGAGATCCATTCATGTTTATTATGTAAATATGCAGCCAATAATAATCATAGGTAACTTTTGGGATTGTTAGCAGATAGCTGAGTCAACGTGTCACTGACTGAGCATCAGAGAATAAAGTGCCCACGTTCACATAGGCTCTGCATGCTGGATCTTCAAAACCAACCTCCCTCTCAAGGGCCTTATTCACCGTGTGTCCACATGTTACTCCCAGCATCTAGCCTCACCTATAACCTTCTCAAAAGATTGGGACCGTCTTCCTCCTGCTTGCTCAGATTTCCTCCTTTCAACTCTCTTTTTACCAGTTCTCTCCCTTTGTTACTGCCTCTGACAGAGCAGTCTCTTTCTCATCCCTGGGGCCTACCCTTGGCCCTGAGTCCTTGATGTCATACAGTCCCATTGCTGGTAGCACCTTGCACTGTCTGTCATTCTCCGCTCTAATTTGGATTTTCAGCCTTCCCCTGATATTCATCTCTGCCTCTCAACATACCCAGACCTCAGGTAGAGTAATGAAATTCTTTTCTTACATGCTGTAACCTTAGACTTCAGTTTTCTCCTTTCCTTCAGGGAAGAGTTCTCCTAAGAGTAGTTTACCGTAGCTTAGTCTAACAAACAACCCCAGGTGTCTCAGCTTACAGTAACAACGGTTTACTTCTTGCTCACGTTATCGTCCACTGTTGGTCTGCTGCAGTTCTGGGACTTAGACTTGGAGGAACAGCTCAGACTGCAGGAGTTGGGTGTGTTGGCCTCATGGACAGCAGACCGTGGAATGCTTTTAAGGTTCTTCTCAGGAGTGGCACTTGTCACTTATGCTTGAGTTTTATTAACAAAGCAAGTTCATGGTCAAGACTGACAGCAATGGAGTAGGAAGTATCATCCTCTCACCTAGAGGGCCAGGGAATATTTGAAACAATAATAGAATCTACGACATCTAGTAACTTGCTTTTGAAGTCTTTGCATGGTGGCATTAGTTTCTGCCAGGCTGATGATCATGCTGTTATCCACTTACCAAAAGCAATGACCTCCTTGTCCCACCCAAACACTTAGATGGCAGCATTTGATTTTCTGATGCTAAAATATACTGCTGAGATACACACTCTACCTGATCATGCTCTTTTAAAACAACCTTTAAATGTCTCATAACTATAGGAATATATAAAATGTATATATA